ACTACTACTACTACTACTACTACTACTACTACTACTACTACTACTACTACTACTACTACTACTACTACTACTACTACTACTACTACTACTACTACTACTACTACTACTACTACTACTACTACTACTACTACAACAACTAAATTTTTTAGTTACAGGATGACTGTAATGATGTATTTAACATGAATACTTTATTGGGGGGAAAAAATTGACCTTTTTTGAAAAAGGCTTTATATTGTTGTCGCATTGCATGCATGCATGCATTCCTACAGTCAGTTTATGGTTTCATTTATGTGACATAGTGATGGAACGGATGAATAATACTGTAGCAATAATTAAGGTGATTCGGAGTAATTATTATCAGTGTTTAGTGGCACATAACATTTGACCGCAACAATTAAATAACGAACGGTTATGATCACTTTAAAAATGGTAAAAATGGTCAAAGATAAATGTTAATTTTATAGAAAGAGACAAAAATTGAAAGGATGAACGACCAATATTTTGCATATGTTTGTTTATAAGCAAATCGTACATTTCAACATTTTACAAGCGCATTTGTCATTTTCTTTTACTTTTTTTTTTTTTTTTTTTAACTAATTAATTTTTGTTTCTATAATAGTTAAATGGAATGAATCATTTTACAAGCGCATTTGTCATTTTCTATGCATGTTTTCAACATGCATAGAAGCGCATTTGTCATTTTCTTTATTTTTTTTTACAATTAATTTTTGTTTCTTTAATAATTAAATGGAAATGAATTTGACGGGCAAAAATTTAATTTTTAATTATAAGTTTTACTTGTAATTTATACTTAATCAATAGACAAGGAAACTCATTATTGTTCGAAAATTACAATATAATGGTATAAAAAAATGAAATTTGAAAAAAAAATGATCCAAATATTTGAAATAGTACTAAACGATAATAATGAAATTTAAGGCGTCAATAGTGAAAGATTTATCGGCACAATACCAATATACTTTCTGATAGTGCCACTTAATTAACCCATAATTATATTATAAATAAATTAGTACTAATTCTTATTATTTTTTAACGAATGAATAAGCTAAAATAAACTTATGGATTAAAATAATTTCAATGTAATTGAATATCTCATAATTAAGTATTAATTTTTTGATTAAATTTTTTTTAATTTAAAATTTTTACAAATGCTTTCTTTTGTTATTTTGTTGTTTTTTTTTATTATAAATTAAATTAATAAATGAAAATAATACGGATGTAATTGTTAATTATTTACTTTTTACACTTCCAATATTGAACTTATTTCGTGTTTTCTCTAATATTATTTAGATAAAATAACAAATTAAATGCTATCATTTAATTTATCATTTTTCAATTATCATTTTTTATTCAAATATCATTTTCAATTATCATTTTTTATTCAAATATCATTTTCAATTATCATTTCTTTTTTCTTTGCATATTTATTTTTTTAACAATAAAAATATTTTACATTATTGTATCATATAGGAAAATTATATCAAAAATTTGTTATTACAATCAATTTTTCATCATTTTTCAACAAATGTAAAATATCGTCGATGAGAAATGTAAATGTTTAAGCTATTTATTACCTCATAAAATCTTTCTTTTTTATATATTTCTTTTTTTTTTTTTTT